ACAGTAGACAAACATGAAATATAGTGCCTAAGATTAAATTTGTAGACAAGAAATCCGAAGGAGATACAGATCTTGCAGTGCATAGATGTCTATTTAGTCATTTAATCATTTTGTAGATTTAATTAATGTTGAAATTATAATATTAAAGATAGACTTTGAAGCCAACCTTGATTATTCCGACGTGCACATAATCTGTTTGCAAGAATGTATTCCGAAAAATTATGTTGTAGAAAACAACAAACCAAAGTAATAAACGAACAAACAAAAGAGAAGAAGCAAACAGCAGTGAATAATGGAGAAAGGGACGGCCTCCAAACTTAGGGCTAACAAATGAAATTACAATGGTTTATATAGTACAAAACTAAGAAAAGATAAAAGTCTAAACTACTCTTAACCTAACCTACTTATTACATTAACATCCCCCCTCAAACTCACGATGTTACAGCAAGAAGCAACGGGAGTTTGACAAACAAAAAGCGAAAAGCCGAAAACCATAAACCGAATTGGACTTCATGAAGATGTCAACAAACTGCAATGATGAACAACGAAAGATAGAGTAATGATGCCGAACTGCAGATAACCAACGAAACCACACAATCTCAGCTAAACCAAACGGATGCAAATTTCAAATTCCAAATGAACTTGACATACCAATTTCAAGAACTAACTATGCCAAATTCCAAACTCCAGATAGACTGGACAAATACCAAACGAAATTTCTAATCCCATAAATTGGGCAAACAAAAGAAATTTTCAAATCCTGTGAAACGGGCATCAAATGAAATTTGCATCCTGAACTGAGCATCAAACCAAATTTTCAATCCCAAAAACTGGGCATACACCAAAACCAACAACACATCCCCCATCTTTCCTGCCTATCTTCAGCAACTCATCAAGCACGCAACTTATCACTTTCCCCACCAAAAAGACCCTTTTCTTTAATAACCCCTATACACATGGCCAAAAGACAAGAAGCCCAATAAACAAAATATCCAAACCCAACAGGGAATTCGACTAATCCAAATCCAAATTAAAACCCAAACACACACTAAAGCCCAACCAAATAACTTTTGCCCAATTAAATCAACTGGCCCAATCTATATTTTCCAGCCACCCAAATTTTAAAATCCAATTGGCCCATGACATATACAGTTTCATGTATGCCCAGGAACTAACCAATGGAAAGAAACAAGGGAAAATTTCATAACTAAGAAATTAATTATGGCACATTTCAAAAACAAGAAAACAAGTTTCAAATTTCAAAAATCAGATTTTTATTAAAAATTATTTATAATTTAATTAATTAATTAATTAATTTAGTAATTTAATATATTTAAGTCACAGAGTTATATAATTTGGTCACAAATTAACGATTTAATTCATCACTTATTATTTTTTGGTCACAAATCAGAAATTTTATGTCACAAATTATTTTACGGTCACAATTCAAAAATTTTATAGGTCACAGTTTGTTCATTGGTCACAAATCAAAAATTTATACATTACGATTTTTTTATAGGTCACAGATCTTAAATACTATAGGTCACAAATTATTGATTTTTTAAGTCACAAATTAACGATTTAATTCACCACTTATTATTTTTTGCTCACAAATAAGAAATTTTATGTTACAAATTATTTTACGGTCACAATTCAAAAATTTTATAGGTCACAGTTTGTTCATTGGTCACAAATCGAAAATTTATACGTTACAATTTATTTATAGGTCACATATCTTAAATACTATAGGTCACAAATTATTAATTTTTTAGGTCACAAATTAACGATTTAATTCATCATTTATTTTTTTTGTTCACAAATCAGAAATTTTATGTCACAAATTATTTTACCGTCACAATTCAAAAATTTTATAGATCACAGTTTATTCATTGGTCACAAATCAAAAATTTATACGTTATAATTTATTTATAGGTCACAAATCATAAATACTATAGGTCACAATTTATCTTATTGGTCACGTATTATTTATTAGTCACATATTAACCAATTTAATGTTCACAATTAACAAATTAATCTGTGACCACCACCAAACAATCACACTCCAACACCACTGCCGGCACTACCATCACCCTACATCAAACACCACGACCAAAAACAAATCAACACATCTGAGACCACAACCACCAACAGCTCACCGTCACCGCCACACCACTGCCACGACCACTGTCTCTACCTCGACGACCACCGTACCACACAACACCACCACCAGCACAACCAAAACCACCGCACCGCCCCCACAAACACCACCACCATTGCACCGCCCCTACCAGAAAAAATCCCCAATCTGCCACTGGACTCTACCACCATCCCACCGTATCAACAACCCCACTCGTATCACCAATGAAACACTGCCACCAATGCCGTCACCTTCTCACCACCACCTGAACCACTAACGATTCAGCCACACCACCGACACCGATACCCCCCCTCTATCACTACCACGCCACAGATACAATCCCCATCCAAAAAATTTCCCCAAGTTGCGACTGTAGGCACCACCAGAAATACCACCACCTTGCCAAATCACTGCACGACCACCACGAGACATCGGTGAAGGCGTAGAGAGAGACGGCGGCATCTCCACCTGAAGAGAGAGAAAGGAGAGAATGAGGCGATAGAGAGAGAGAGTTAGGGTTTGTAAGTAAAATTATTTATTTTATAAAATATTAATTAGAGTAAAATTTCTGACTTTTGAAATGTTGAACTTGCCCTCTGATTTTAGAATTGAGGATTTTAATGATAGGGTTTCATGTAATTACCACAAGAAACAATATCATTAAGCTGGCCAATATCCACATACTCAAGGACCCAAAACCAATCTACAGCCCATAGTCACAAAAGAGTCCACAACACAAAGGCCCAAATCACAGCATCTCTACTTTCCAAACCCTCACAACCTCTTCACCGTCCTCTCTCACCATGTTTACTACGTACCCAGCAGAAGTGCCTCCCATCATTCCATAATTGCCAAGGATATGTCGCCACAGAACCTCTACCACCAAATTGACCATAAGTAGCCGATTGAAACTTCCCCATCGAACCCCATCTCAAACCAGTTCACCGCACCTTCGCCATTACCATCTTGTCAAACCACCAACCAACCAGCATTCATCACAACAACCTGTCAGTAATACTTTCTTGATACAGCACAAGCCGACTTCGAAAAACTGCCGTCAAACGTCGGGTTCACCATGGTTGGCCACCACAAGCAGCTTTACAAACCTCGCCTTTACTTATCCCAATCCTCTCGGCACCATCCTTCCACAACCATCAGATTTCCATTACTCCCAGAAGACCAAAGCCTCGGCCAGAAACATACAAACACCCAACCAAAAATTTCAAACCACAGTAGCTGCTGCCCCGTATTTTCCAGAACATATCAAAAAGTTTTAACCACCGGACGAGCGGTACGAGGCCGAGAAAGGAACCTTCCAAATTTATCCCAAAATCCAACCCGCTCTGATACCATGTAGAAAACAGCAAACCAAAGTGATAAACAAACAAACAAACAAACAAAAGAGAAGAAGCAAACGGCAGTGAAGAATGGAGAAAGGGGCGGCCTCCAAACTTAGGGCTAACAATTGAGATTACAATGGTTTATATAGTACAAAACTAAAGAAAGATAAAAGTCTAAACTACCCTTGACCTAACCTACTTATTACATTAACATATGCTTCCTTTAGCTCATGTAGAGGAATGTAGAACTTTCAAACTGAATTTGAACTTTTTCATTTACTCAAGTCTCAAGTCGGGCAAATTAGGAGTGCAAAATCAATTTTCTATTCATCATGCATAAGCTCTCTATCGCTTTTTACTTTTGGTCGTGAAAAAAACATTTTCTATTTTTCCAACTTGATTCCTGGTCAGTGAGGAGTTTAATTATGCTCACGACAATTTATTCTTATGTGACAGAAGATTAACCTGTAGTTTCTTCTTCTAGAATTCTAAACTTGACAACTATGTTCCGATTCAGAACCTTGCTTCCTTTAGCTGCCCTTGTTTGAGCCACATTATTTTCCTTAGAATGAATTTTTGAATAGTGTATTGATGGGAAATATGTGGTTAAAAAATAAAGAAAAGTTTTGGATTTACGTGTAATGTTATTTTATTGAATAGTTTGTGGTTGAAATGATGTCAAATCACTGTTTAAGAATGTACTTTTTTAAAAACATGTGGCTCAAACACGTCCAAAAACTTGTGTTTTTACAGATTTTTGGTGGCTGCAACAGTAGCTTTCATTGAACAACCCTTGCAATTTAAAGGCCAGTTTCCTTCTTTCGTATGTTAATGTTGTTAAGGAAATTGTGGAATTTATGTGGAACTTATGGTGCTGCTTATACTGTAGTTATGGATATCCAAGAAATTTTTTAAAAATTCTAGGTGAGGTCAATGCTCTTGTCTTCACAGTGGGATCATTTCTTTGCCTAGTTACTAATATGTCTTTTACCTGCGTCAGTTTTAGGAGGGCAGAGATCATGGACTGCTAAGTCATTTGTGAAATGCTCTGGAAGAAAATGGAAAAGGAGCTAAGGAAGAGAACGGGAAATTAAAGGGAAGATATTCGTGACTTTGTTCTAACTATGTAATCGATTAAAACTCCTATATTGTAGTTGTCATGTTTATGTAGTTGGCACTAAATTTGGTATCAATTATGTTCGGTCAATGTTGATTGCGTAAGTTATTTATGCATGATATTGTGGCAAATGTTTGAAATAGACTTGGCGTCAACAAGTTAATAAATTTGATTTTGGAAACCAATTTTTCTTATTGGCATGATGTGAAGCAGGCACACTGGTAAATATGCTTGTGTTACCATGTTAAAAAGTATTGTTAAGGAATTTTGATCCAACTGAACAACAATTCAAGATAAGCAACATTTTAATCCTACTTTTTAATTATCCAACATCAGAACTACACATAACCAGAAGAATAGAATACCAAATCATTGAATAATTCAGACTACATTGCTGGAATCAAACTGCACAAAAAATAAAAAATCGTCCATTGAAAGTTTAAACCAACACAAGCACATACATTGTCTTTCCTTTACATCACAAAAATAAAAACCGATGTATTTTAACCAATAGTTACAACCAAAATTAAAAGTTTTACATTGCACTGCACTACAGATTAGTATCAATGTCTTTACACAGAACGGATGCAGATTTTGTCGTCTTCACAGCTCTTCTTTTTCGTGCCCTTGCCGCTCTTAGCTTCCAGAATTCAGCCTCATCCATTTGTTGGAATTCGTCAACCATTTCTTCAAAGTTAACTTCCACGTCATCCGATGAACACTACAACAACAACTCCTCCACGGATATTCCAAGTCGTCCACTTTCATATTATAGCATAATATTTAGCTGACACCATTGAGTGAATCACACTAGTAGTGCTCGGTTGCTGAGGGAGCCCAAATGCATCGTCAGGCTTCTTACTAGAATCAAAACCAAAATCAACAATACAAGCTTTCAAGTCCACATTATTATGCACCATATCCAGAACTTCCAAAAAAGTTCAAGAATTTTAATTAAACAAACCATAAATATTACTGCTGAATACATCGTGATTCACCACTATCAAGCAGTAGCATAACATACAAACTATTGTAGATTAAAATTTATATGCAGCATGCACTGTCAAAAGCAAATGAAAACAGAAGTAAATTTTCAGAAAATCTGGCAGAATGTGCTTGAGTACAACAACTGAAGAACAACCCTTGGAAACGTAAAAGTCATGACTATCAATTATACTAAAAATTACACTGAAATCACGTCTAGACTTGGTGTTCAAACGTCTAAGGCAATAACGGAGCCATGATTTGAACTCAACAGCCAAAAATTTTGAAATAGAGGAAATACAAATTTAACGATCAAACAGGAAAAATTGGTACCTAAAATGGATTAAAGTTACCTTTATTACACTTCCTTGCGAGTGTGTTTGGCTACAAAACTAACAAATTTAACGTAGCTCGGCACTATACCGCAGCTGACGAAGGTAGCTTGTACCAACTAATTGAATTTCTTCCCTACTTTGGAGTTGGGGTTCCTATCGTTCTTCTTTCAAAATCAATATATTTGGAGTGAGTTATGGGTGATTTTTAGGAATATGGAGTCGAAATTGATTTTGGGAATTCTGTGAAATCGTTGAATGTTTGCGTTTCAATTCAATGGATAAAAGACGCATTTCCTCACTGTTTATAAAGGCGTGTTTGGTTGAGTCTGATGTGGCAATGACATGGCGATGAGTTGGCGAAACATTTAGCACGTGGAAGGAGTTAACGGGCCACATCAGATTTTCTTCTTCCATGTAAGCGACAAACCAAACGCCATCCATCCATTCGATTTCGGTGAGTAATGGAGAATGATGATTCAAAGTTCAGCAGCCAATGGGACACTTTTGTAAGTTCGATAAGTAAGTCGTGGCATAGTGTAAAGTTTGATGGCGAATGAAACATTTAATTCAGTGCCCTAGTCTATCCAGGGCCCACAAGCTTTTTCCATTCAATTTTTGTACTGCTTCATAAAAATGAAGGGTATGTTTGATTGCAAAAATGAAATTTGGGTGGAAAGAAAACGAATTTCAGAGAATTGAATCGTTTAGAAATTGTTTTTGCTGAGAATTGTAAATTATTGTATTTGATTGGTATAATTTTTCACGTGAAAAATGTTGAAATAAATTTTTTTTTTTTCGTTTGACTTTATTTAACTTGAAAATTGTCAATTAAAAGAAAATATTTTAGTGGTATTGGGGATAGAATTTGTTATCATTGTCAAAAAAATCAAGAAAATCATCTTTCTTTTGGTGTTCGTTTGACTTTGTTTTACAAGAAAATTTTCATTTAAAGGAAAATAATTTTTTACAATTAGGGATAGAATTTATTTTCATTGCTTTAAAAAAAAAAAAAACAAAACAAAAAAGAGAGCTTGAAATCATGCGCGTGAAGGGAGGAGTGAGAAATTCATTTTCATGGAAAAACTTTGCCATCAAACAATGTAAAAGTTGGAAAGTGGAATTCTATTTTCATTTTCCATGGAACGGTGCCTAATATTTCATTTCTCACTCCTCGTACTTTCGCACCACTTCGTAAAAGTTAATAATCCATTGCAATCCATCACTCACTTTCATCATGGGATACTTTAAAAAAAAAAAAAAAAAAAAAAAAAAACTTCGTCAAACTCCATATTTTTCATTTTGACTTTTCAATTATTTCATATTTCTACAATGATCTTCTAGATGGTGAAAAACAAGGAATAAGCCTCCTAGCAACAAAAGAAGGGGGGGGGGGGGAACGA